GAAAGTGTTCACAAAATTTCAGAACAATCGAATGATATATCTTGAGTTATCATGTTTGAGTGTGAAAATTATGCATAACATCTAGTTTTGAGAAAAATCAAATTTTAGTTTTGCCACGCGCTTAAATTAAGAGTATCTAAACTTTAAAAAAAATTCCTAAAAATATACTAACATCATATTAACTTGAAAAAATGCAGTTTAAAAGAATTTTTGACAGGATTCTGTCCTTTAAATGACAACTTCCGGTTAATTAAACGCCCACTTCCGGTTTTCGGTTTGTTATAAAACAATTAATATCTCATCTTCTAATCAACGTACCGTCAAAAGTAAATATGTTTTAGAAAGGTAAATGAATAAACTATCCAAATCATCAAAAATTTTAAAAAATGGGAATTTTGGCCGAAAATCGACTTTTCAACGTGTTCGGATACCTTAACCCTTTGCGGCGCAATGCATTAATTTTTTTGAAAAATGATGAAAAGACATCATGAATGGGTTTAGTTTATTGTCTAGACATAGAATCTACAAAAATTGTTTTAAAAAAGCTTACTTCATTCCGAGGGGGGTTGTTCCCCTTTGGGGTCACCCCCCTCATATGAGAACCCCCTTGATGCAGCCACTTTTATACACTCAAATAATATTGTTGAATCTTACAGAAAATCATAAATTAAAACTTCAAGAATATTCGAGGAAAATTTTCGAGTTAATTTGCTAAAATTGTAAATGTCCGGACTGAAAAAATTTCTTATCTCTGAGTTCAGGAATTGCGGGGGGGGGGGGGGGGGGGGGGAGGAATAGGGCGCTTATGTGGACGCCAAATCGGGCTGAATTTCATAATCACCGTTTGGCAACAGCTCACAAGTTTGTTTTGTTTACAATCGATTCGGCGAATTTAGTTTGATTTGATCTGAGTCAACGAAATTTTTCAAAATGAGTTTAAGTCGGGCAGTTTCAATTATAAATCGAAATCATCAAGAAAGAGAACTGTTGAACAACTGAAACTGTTCAATCTTTCCTAAGACGATCAAATCGGAATGATCAAAGTAGAGTCAAGCGTTTTTGTGAATGGAACGAAGTTTCCGAACTACAGGAACATGGTTGACTATGACAGGTCAGCTCTTTTATCCATGTAGCGAAGATTTTCTGATCATTATTTCGGAGGAAAAAAAAGCATGTTTAAAATTTTGGTGTCAAAAGCAAGAATTTTAGAAATTTTTAAAAATTTTGAAAAAAGGCTATTTTGTTAGTTCTAAGAAGGTAAAAATAAATAATTATTATGGGTTATAATTTTGAATAGTGAATCTGAACATATTTTTTGTCAGTTTAAAGTGTCCATTTTATGCTAAAAAATTGTGAAATGGGTTAACTCATCTTTCGAAAACTTGAATTGTTTGAGGTTTTAAAACATAAATATCTACCCAGCTAGAAAAGTTGTAACTTTTTTGCTAAATAATTATTGCAGTGAATGTGTATACATGTAGCGAAGATTTTCTGATCATTATTTCAGTGAAAATAAAAGCATGTACAAAATTTTGTGTCAAAAGCAAGAATTTTAGAAATTTTTAAAAAATTTGAAAAAATGCTATTTTGTTAATTTTATGAAGGTAAAAGTAAATAATTATTGTGGGTTATAATTTTGAATAGTGAATCTGGAGATATTTAAAGCCATTTGTCAATTTAAAGTCTCCTTTTTAAGCTGAAAGTTTGTGAAATATGTTAACTCATCTTTCGAGAAATTTGAATTTACTTTTAGTAATTAATGCATTTATAATTTCCTATTACTAGCAGGCACACACGACTATACAGCGAGCGAGCGAAGCGAAAATCACAACAAAAGAATCATAACGTGATTCTTGGGGGTTGAAGAGCGGAGCGAGTAGGGGGTGTAACCCCCCCCCATTCCTATCTAACCATCTAATATCCACTCGAAATGCTTACTGTTAATTGTTAATCTTGGCGGTACACTGTTGTAAGATGATGCGTGCTTTTATATTTTACTGTGCTCCGGAGAGAGAATAACTATCATCCAAACGTATGCCTGTTTTAGTTCATTTTTTGTTATTTGCTATTATTAGCTGTTATAATTGAAAAAATTTAACGAAAATTAAATTAAGAATTAATAGAGATTAAATTAAAAATTAATTAAAATTCTTTTGCATTATACGGAAAGGCGCATATGCAGCTGCTTCTGGTAGAATACAAGAAACAAAATTAGAACTTCAAAAATTAAGTTAAAAAATATAGAAAAAGTAAACATTAATAAAAATGACAACAATACACCTTTTATGCGCGCAAACGCAGCAGTATTAAATGATTTCATCATCAGAAAAAAACGTATTTACAAACAGAATTTATGAAATAATTAAAACACAAATAAGAAAATTAGAAAGAAAAATACAATTAGAATGAAAGCAAAATGCATGAAAAATTGGAAGAGAATTAAAATGGCGATTCTTCCTCAGAGGCCACACGCCATTGTAGTTCTAAAACAGGACAAAAATTTTCTGAATAAAGGAATGACCATTAGTCAAAAATTATTACAATGGCGTGTGGCCTCTGAGGAAGAATCGCCATTTTAATTCTCTTCCAATTTTTCATGCATTTTGCTTTTTATTCTAATTGTATTTTTTAATTTTCTTATTGTGTTTTAATTATTTCATAAACTGTTTGTAACAGTTTTCTGATGATGAAATCATCTAATACCCTGCGTTTCCATAAAAGTATTATTGTCATTTATTAATCTATCTTTTCTATATTTTTAACTAATTGAAGTTCTAATTTTGCTATTATTGGCTATTATTCGGCAATTTGTGTTTTTATAGTTTCTAGATACTCAATTTCTTAGTGTGTGTTTGTTGTTTTGTTATGCACAGAATTAATATTCAAGAATTTGCTTTTTTCAAGCATTTCAATTCAATAATTTTATTAAATTTATAAATAGTTCTTTTTACTGACTAGATTTAAATGGTTATCATGAATTTAGTTTTGCGTTTTATAAAATGTAGTCAATTCTCTTTTTTTTTTACAGAAGAAACTTTATTTAATTATTTTGAGTTTTAATTAATTTTAGTATGTAAATTATTTTTAGCTGAGAAATTTAATTATTGTACCTCAAATTTTTCATTACTTATTAAAATCTTTTCCACTACTTTTTTTAAAGAATTTTTTTAATTATCATTTTTTAACACTTAAACATAAGGGATTAACTCAAAGTTCATTACATGCAAAAACATCTGTACATTTTCGTTTTGTGTATAAAGAATTAAAATTCAGTTATACTAATTAACCTGTTGACTGTTTGTGTTTTTAAATTCATTTCTTTGTCCTTATTGCAATTATTGCTTTCAGATTACAAAAATTGAAATGTCGAAAATGTCAGCCTTAATTGCCTTATTACTAGTAATACAAGATTGGCGAACCAGTAGGCTGCTAATTGTAAATGAAAATGCAAGTTTTAAGAGCTATCACTACTTTTGATGATAGTGCGAAATTTGACTTGAATTTACTTACATCTAAAATGCACACAGTTGAAAAGTTGACTGAAGATATCGTCTGATGAAGATAAAGACATTGCAAACGATTACGAAACAGTTCCAACACATTTTCATTTTGCATTAAAAACATCGACACAGTGATGCATTCCTTCGTATGTCGTCACGATACTGAAGAAAAAACTTTCAAGGATTTAAATTCAATTATCTGCGATTTAAATTAAAATCCCAATTCAAACGGAACAGTAATCAAAACTAACTGAACGTTTTTCGAAATAAATTAAAATTCAGCATTTCCTTGTAAAAGGAAAGAAAAATCAAGGACTAATGCGATAAAAGTTTGTCATTTTAACTTCCATCTATAGAAATAAATGAATCGAAAATTCCGAAATACGTCCAACAATGAGAGCTGTGTATTATTATACAAGCCAAATTTGTTAACCAGCCAAATTTGGCGACCGATTGATTGCCGGGATTATAGGATGTGATGCATCTTTTATGAGTAGCCTGGTATTAAAGGATCCATTAGCAAAGTATATTTATTTTTCAATTTTGATAAACATGCAACTTTTACTATCCTAGAAACTCTACACCTGTTCTATTCATTGTGCTATGTACAAGCTAATTTTCTCTAGATTTCGCCTCACCTAAAATTTCGGCTTTGATTTAAACAAGGAAAAGATAAAACTCGAAACAAAACAATAACTTGCTTCCTGAATCGAAACAAGCTCACAAAATATGTGAGAATAATCAGAGCAATAATCAAGCATCGAAGTTTATTGAGTAATAGAGCATATGTTTCGTAGTTTTTGTAATATCTACAGTGACGTTAAAAAATAAAGAAAAACAATCATATTAAAAAAACTTACACAGCATGTGTAAAAAAGAAAACATTCGTATTTCTTCGTCAGAAGTGGTATTCGAACCCACGCCCGCATTCCTGGACCAGAACTCTCAACTCTCTGCAGCAGAGCAAGGGAACCCTTGAGTCTGGCGCCTTAGACCGCTCGGCCATCCTGACACTACGACCGAGAACTATAATGCTTTAGTTAAGTGACATTAGCGAGTGATGTTATCCAGAGGAGATATTTAAAAAATAGTATCTTTGTCAGAAGTGGGATTCGAACCCACGCCCACATTCGTGGACCAGAACTCTCAACACTCTGCGACAGAGCAAGGGAACCCTTGAGTCTGGCGCCTTAGACCGCTCGGCCATCCTGACACTACGACCGAGAACTATAATGCTTTAGTTAAGTGACATTAGCGAGTGATGTTATCCAGAGGAGATATTTGGGCAAATAGTATTTTGTCGAAGTGGATTCGAACCCACGCCTACATCTGTGAATCCAGAACTCAACACTCTTATGACAGAGAGCAAGGAAAACTTTGAGTCTAGCGCCTTAGACCGCTCGGCCATCCTGACACTAATACGAACGAGAACTGTCGCTTAGTTAAGTGACATTAAGGAGATGTTATCCAGAGTGAGACATTTGGTAAAAAATAGCATCTTGTCAGAAGTGGGATTCGAACCTACGTCTACATTCGTGACCAGAACTCTCAACACTCTGCTTAGACAGGAGAGCAAGGGAACCTTTTGAGTTCGGCGCCTAGACCGCTCGGCCATCCTGACACCATGACCGAACTATAATGCTTTAGTTAAGTGACATTGAAGGAGTGATGTTATCCAGAGGAGATATTTAAAAATAGCATCTTTGTCAGAAGTGGATCTGAACCACGCCCACATTCGTGGACCAGAACTCAACACCTGCGACACAGAGCAAGGGAAACCTGAGTCTGGCGCCTTAGACCGCTCGGCCATCCTGACACTACGCATCGTGAGAACTATAAATGCTTTAGTTAAGTATTAGTGGGAAAGTGATGTTAATCCAGAGGAGAGTATTAAAAAAAATAGCATCTTGTGTGCCGTAGCGGATTCGAACCCACGCCTACATTCGTGGACCAGAACTTCAACACTTGGGTGACAGAAGAAGGGAACCTTGATTCTGGCGCTTTAGACCGCTCGGCCATCCTGACACTACGACCGAGAACTATAATGCTTTATTCTAAGCGACATTAGCGAGTGATCGTTATCCAGAGAGCATATTTAAAAATAGTATCTTTGTCCGAGCGGGATTCAACCACGCCTGTACCATTCTGGTGGACCAGGAACTCAAGCCTCTGCAAGATGCAGCAATGGGAACCTGAATTCGGCGTCTTTAGAACCGGCTCGGCCATCCACATACGAATTGGCTTAAGTTTTAAGCTAATGCTTTAGTAAGTGACAAGATGCATGTTATCCAGAGGAGATATTTAAAAATAGATCTTTGGTCAGAAGTGGGATTCGAACTCCAAGCCCACATTCGTGGACCAGAACTCAACACTGCGACAGAGCAAGGAACCTTGAGTCTGGCGCCTTAGACCGCTCGGCCATCCTGACCTGAATCGAGAACTATAATGCTTTTTAGTAAGTGACATTAGAGTGATGTTATCCAGAGGAGATATTTAAAAATAGTATCTTTGTCAGAAGTGGGATTCGAACCCACGCCTACATTCGTGACCAGAACTCTCAACAATTCACGCGACAGACAAGGAACCCTTGAGTCTGGCGTCTTAGACCGCTCGGTCTCGACACTACAGACCTGAGAATTAAATGCTTTAGCAAGGCATTACGAGTGATGTCTATCCAGAGGAGATATTTAAAAAATAGATCTTGTCGAGGGGATTCGACCCAATGCTCACACGTGACCAGAACTCAACACTCTGCGACAGAGCAAGGGAACCCTTGAGTCTGGCGCCTTAGACCGCTCGGCCATCCTGACACTACGACCGAGAACTATAATGCTTAGTTAAGTGACATTCGAAAGTGATGTATCCAGAGGAGAATAAAAATAGCATCTTGTCAGAAGTGGGATTCGAACCCAATGCCCACATTCGTGACCAGAACCTCAACACTCTGCGACAGAGCAAGGGAACCCTTGATTCTGGCGCCTTAGACCGCTCGGCCATCCTGACACTACGACCGAGAACTTAATGCTTTAGTTAAGGACATTAGCGAGTGATGTTAATCAGAGGAGAATTTGCAAGATCTTTGCTCGGGAAGTGGATTCGAAACCACGCCTACATTCGTGGACCAGAACTCTCAACACTTGGTGAAGAGCAAGGGAACTCCTGAGTCTGGCGCCTTGACCGCTCGGCCATCCTGACACTACGACCGAGAACTATAAGCTTTAGCAAGGACATTAATGATGTTATCCAGAGAGAATATAAAAAATAGTATCTTGTCAGAAGTGGGATTCGAACCCATGCCACATTCGTGGACCAGAACTCTCAACACTCTGCGACAGAGCAAGGAAACTTGAGTCTGGCGTCTAGACGCTCGTGCCATCCTGACACTACGACCTGAGAACTTATAATGCTTTGTTAAGACATTGCGAAGTGATGTTGATCCAGAGGAGATATTTAAAAATAGTACTTTTGTCAGAAGTGGGATTCGAACCACCGCCCACATTTCGTGACCAGAACTCTCAACACCTGCGACAGCAAGGGAAACCTTGAGTCTGGCGTTTTAGACCGCTCGGCCATCCTGACACTGTATCGAGAACTATAATGCTTTAGTTAAGGACATGAAGATGATGCGTCCAGAGGAGATATTTAAAAATAGCATTCTTGTCAAGTGGGATTCAAACCACGCCCACATTCGTGGACCAGAACTTCAACACTCTGCGACAGAGCAAGGGAACCCTTGAGTCTGGCTTAGACCGCTCGGCCATCCACTGACTACGACCGAGAACTATAATGCTTTGTTAAGGACATTAGCGAGTCGATGTTATCCAGAGAGATATGTAAAATAGCATCTTTGTCAGAAGTGATTCGAACACGCCCACATTCGTGGACCAGAATCTCAACACTTCGCGACAGAGCAAGGGAACTCCTTGAGTCTGGCGCTCTTAGACCCTCGGCCATCCTGACACTACGACCGAGAACTATAATGCTTTAGTTAAGGACATTAGCGATGATGTCTATCCAGAGGAGATATTTAAAAATAGCATATTTGGTCAGAAGTGGGATTCGAACCCACGCTACATTCTGTGACCAGAACTCAACATCCGCGACAGGCAAGTGGAACCCTTGAGTCTGGCGTTTAGACCGTCTCGGCCATCCTGACACTACGACCGAGAATCCATAATGCTTTTAGTTAAGGGACATTAGCGATTGATGTTATCCAGAGATATTTAGTGCATCTTATGGAAGTGGATTCTGAACTCACGCCCACATTCGTGTGACCAGAACTCTCAACACTCTGCGACAGAGCAAGGGAACCTCTTGATGGGCCTAGACCGCTCGGCCATCCTGACACTACGACCGAGAGAACTATAATGCTTTTTTTAGTTAAGTGACATAGCAGAGTGATGTTATCCAGAGGAGATATTTAAAAAATAGTATCTGTCAGAAGTGGGTTGAACCCACGTCATCACATTCGTGGACCAGAACTTTCAAATACTCTGCGACAGAGCAAGGGGAACTTTGAGTCTGGCGCTCTTAGACTGCTCGGCCATCCTGACACTACGACCGAGAACTATAATGCTTTTTAGTTAAGGACATTAGCGAGGATGTTATCCAGAGGAGATATTTAAAAATAGCATCTTTTGTCAGAAGTGGATTCGTCACGTCCTACTTCGTGACCAGAACTTCAACACTCTGACAGAGCAAGGAACCTCTTTGAGTCTGGCGCTCAGACGCCTCGGCCATCCTGACACTACGACGAGAACTATAATGCTTTAGTTAAGTGACATTAGCGAGTGATGTTATCCAGAGGAGAATTTTAAAAAATAGTAATCTTTGTCAGAAGTGGGATTCGAACCCACGCCCATTCGTGACCAGAACTCCAACACCTGGGACAGAGCAAGGGAACCTGTCCTGGCGCTTCCAGACCGCTCCGGCCATCCTGGACATAGCCGACCGAGAACTATAATGCTTTAGTAAGGACATTAGCGAGTGATGTTATCCAGAGGAGATATTTAAAAATAGTATCTTTGTCGTGAAGTGGATTCGAACCACGCCTCACATCTCACGACCAGAACTTCAACACTCTGCGACAGAGCAAGGGAACCCTGAGTCTGGCGCCTTAGACCGCTCCGGCCATCCTGACACTACGACCGAGAACCATAATGCTTTAGTTAAGGCGACATTAGCGAGTGATGTTATCCAGAGAGATATTTAAAAAAATGCTATCTTTGTCAGAAGTGGATTCGAACCACGCCCAGCATCTGTGACCAGAACTTCCAACACTTCTGCGACAGAGCAAGGAACCTTGAGTCTGGCGCTTTGACCGCTCGGCCATCCTGACACTACGACCGAGAACTATAATGCTTTAGTTAAGTGACATTAGCGAGTGATGTTATCCAGAGGAGATATTTAAAAAATAGCATCTTTGTCAGAAGTGGATTGAACCCAGCCACTTCGTGGACCAGAACCCTCAACACTCGATGAGAGCAAGGGAACCTTGAGTCTGGCGCTCTAGACCGCTCCTGCATCCTGACACTACGACCGAGAACTATAATGCTTTAGTTAAGATAGGAGGATTGATGTTATCCAGAGGAGATATTTAAAAAATAGCATCTTTGTCGAAGTGGGATTCGAACCACGCCACATTCGTGGACCAGAACTCAACACTCTGACAGAGCAAGGAACCTTGAGTCTGGTGCTTAGATCGCCTGGCCATCCTGACACTACGACCGAGAAATATAATGCTTTAAAGGCGACATTAGTGAAGATGTGTATCCAGAGGAGATATTTAAAAATAGTATCTTTTGCCGAGAAGGGATTCGAACCTCACGCCCACATTCGTGACCAGAATCTCAACACTCTGCGACAGAGCAAGGGAACCCTTGAGTCTGGCGCCTTAGACCGCTCGGCCATCCAGACACTATGACCGAGAACTATAATGCTTAGTTAAGCATAAAGCGAGTGATGTTATCCAGAGAGATATTTAAAAAATAGCATCTTTGTCAGAAGTGGATTCGAACCACGCCCACATTCGTGGACCAGAACTCACCACTCTGCGACAGAGCAAGGAACCTTGAGTCTGGCGCCTTTAGACCGTCGGCCATCCTGACACTACGACCGAGAACTATAATGCTTTAGTTAAGACATTAGCGGAGTGATGTTATCCAGAGGAGATATTTAAAAATAGCATCTTGTCGAAGTGGGATTCGAACCCACGCCTCAACGTGGACCAGAACTTCAACACTTGCGAAGAGCAAGGGAACCCTTGAGTCTGGCGCCTTAGACCGCTCGGCCATCCTGACACTACGACCGAGAACTATAATGCTTTAGTTAAGTGACATTAGCGATTGATGTTATCCAGAGAGATATTTAAAAATAGTATCTTTGTCAGAAGTGGATCTGAACCCACGCCCACATTCGTGACCAGAACTCTCAACACTCTGCGACAGAGCAAGGGAACCCTTGAGTCTGGCGCCTTAGACCGCTCGGCCATCCTGACACTACGACCGAGAACTATAATGCTTTAGTTAAGTGACATTAGCGAGTGATATCCAGAGGAGATATTTAAAAATAGATCTTTGTCAGAAGTGGATTCGAACTCAGCCTCACATTCGTGGACCAGAACTCTCAACACTCTGCGACAGAGCAAGGGAACCCTGAGTCTGGCGCTTTAGACCGTCGGCCATCCTGACTACGACCGAGAACTATAATGCTTAGTTAAGGACATTAGCGAGTGATGTTATCCAGAGGAGATATTTAAAAATAGTATCTTTGTCAGAAGTGGATTCGAACCCACTGCCCACATTCGTGGACCAGAATCCTCAACACTCTGCGACAGAGCAAGGGAACTCCTTGAGTCTGCTCTTAGACCGCTCGGCCATCCTGACACTACGACCGAGAAACATAATGCTTAGTTAAGTGACATTAGCGATTGATGTTATCCAGAGGAGATATTTAAAAATAGCATCTTTGTCGAAGGGATTCGAACTCACGCCTCACATTCGTGGACCAGAACTCTCAACACCTGCGAAGAGCAAGGGAACCTTGAGTCTGGCGCTCTTAGGACCGCTCGGCCATCCTGACACTACGACCGAGAACATAATGCTTTTAGTTGGACATTGAGGAGTGATGTTATCCAGAGGAGATATTTAAAAATAGTATCTTGTCAGAAGTGGATTCGAAACCACGCCTCACATTCGTGGACCAGAACTCTCAACACTCCCAGACAGAGCAAGTGAACCCTTGAGTCTGGCGTTAGACCTCGGCCATCCTGACACTACGACCGAGAACTATAATGCTTTAGTTAAGGACATTAGAGTGATGTTATCCAGAGGAGATATTTAAAAAATAGATCTTGTCGAAGTGGGATTCGAACCACATGCCACATTCGTGGACCAGAACTCTCAACACTCTGCGACAGAGCAAGGGAACCCTTGAGTTCGGCGCCTAGACCGCCTCGGCCATCCTGACACTACTGACCGAGAACTATATAATGCTTTAGTCTAAGTGACATTAGCGATTGATGTTATCCAGAGGAGATATTTAAAAATAGCATCTTTGTCAGAAGTGGATTGAACCCACGCCCACATTGTGGACCAGAACTCTCAACACTCTGCGACAGAGCAAGGGAACCCTTGAGTCTGGCGCCTTAGACCGCTCGGCCATCCTGACACTACGACCGAGAACTATAATGCTTTAGTTAAGTGACATTAGCGAGTGATGTTATCCAGAGGAGATATTTAAAAATAGTATCTTTGTCAGAATGGGATTCGAACCACATCTGTGACATTCAGAATCTTCAACACTCTGCGACAGAGCAAGGAAACCCTTGAGTCTGGCGCGCCTTTAGACCGCTCGGCCATCCTGACACTAGGACCGAGAATATAATGCTTGTAGTTAAGTGACATTAGCGAGTGATGTTATCCAGAGGAGATATTTAAAAAATAGTATCTTTGTCAGAAGTGGGATTCGAACCCACGCCCACATTCGTGGACCAGAACTCTCAACACTCTGCGACAGAGCAAGGGAACCCTTGAGTCTGGCGCCTTAGACCGCTCGGCCATCCTGACACTACGACCGAGAACTATAATGCTTTAGTTAAGTAGCATTAGCGAGTATCCAGAGGAGATATTTTTTAAAAAATGAACTCTGTCAGAAGGGGGATTTTAAAGGAATATGCGTACCATATTTCATGAGAATCGCCCTATCCTTTTGGTGGTTGGTCTGGACGTAGCGCGCGCGCGCATACCACACATGTTATAAATGTAAATAAAAATTTTCTGTCTTTTAAAGAAATCTCCCTCAAAAGCAAAGAATCTTTCAAAGTGTATTTCGCCATTTAGAATAGGCCTGGTATCGTAAATTTAAAAACAAGTATATGACATACTTTAAGAACCAAACAAAATCAGATATACAAGATTAATAAATACCTCATAGAACAACTAAAGGAAACGAAATAATTTTCCTTGAAAAATAAAACCAGAGCAAGATTAAATAACGACGTCATCAGGCCCGAAATAACTGTATTTTATAAATAAAATATCACGTGCACTTCCTTCATTAATAGAAGAAAGCGAAAAATAAAATTTAATGCAAAAAAAGGCATAAGAAAATATTCGGGAGGAAAAATTATCGAAACTTCGTTCGAGGAAAATCGCGCAATCAAATGACAGGAGAAGGAAAAGAACGAATTAAAAAAACGCGCCAAATTATTTCCCACAACTTACACAGATGCAAGAAGGCGAAATAACGGATATTATTCAAAAAATAAAGACAAAATATCAGTCCTGGAGTTGTTCTAAACAATTCAGGTTGAAGTAATGTCGAGTTCCACGAAAAGGTGATGTTATTTATGCATCTGCCAGAAACTAAACACGAGGAGTGGCTCTTCTTCGAAAATGAAGTCAACCAAACGATTTTTTCTCGCCAACAAACAGATACGAAACATTCGTGGGCTAAGATATCAAATAAAGATTGTGGTTTCGAATTCCATGAACTTATTTTCTACTTTTTATCGTTTTCTCTTCTTCTTTTTCAATCGTATGGCAATCATCATATTTAGATTTGATTCGTGGACATTTTTTTTAGAAATCGTAATCAAGAAGAATGAAATTTTTGTTTAAAACCTCTGATTCACTTTTTTACCTTATCGTATATGAAGCATACAAAGATAAGTAATCGTCAAAAAATTTGATTCCGAGATTTTGATGACTCTATGTTTTATAACTTCCCTGATTTCTAATAAACCACAGTGGAATTATTTATTTATTTTACTTATTCAAAGAAAGCACACTACAGAGATGACCCCATTTACAGAGTGCATGATCAAAAACACACAAAGAACTCAAACCACAAAGAGTGAATTAAAGCACAGAAAAAAAGTGACTGTAGATAATACAAATATTCAGAGCTCAAAACCATATTAATTATAAGAATGTAAACGTATAAATGATTTAAAACGAAAACACGCAATTACAAAAGCACTAAAAAGCACACTGAGGTTCCAAAATTCCATGTTGCATACCGTCACATTAAAATCATAAAAAAAACACAATTTTCTTTTAAATATAGAACATTAAATCAAAAAAACATTAAACCAGCGGGAGTGGTCTCCCCTAAATTTTCCGTATACTTCTCCAAGTTTCCCTTGCGTAGATAAAAAAATTATACGAGAAACGTATACGTATACGAGAAAGTAAAAAGCAAGGGCAAAAAGTCAAACACATACAAGCACAAGATCACAAAAAAACCCACAAAAATAAGAATACGCAAAAAAATCTTAAAAATTATGTACAGCCAAGCGTAAGAAAAGAAAATGAAAACAGGTCATGTATTTAAAAGTTGAAACGAATTGTATTTAAAAACAGTAGGGGACATATAATAAATGTCCAGTTCACCAGAGATCCTGTTAAAAGTCTTATAAAATTTATACAACGAGAACCTGTTAATATAATTAAATTAAGAATACACATTTGGAAAATAACTTTGTGGCAGGCACAGCGAAATTTATAGCGCTCTGTATATCAGTACATTCGATCGAAGCATTGATTACCTTGTAAAAGAGAAGAACACAAGAAACATCTCGTCTGGAACACAAACTAGGCAAGTAGACAGGAAGAAGATATATATCTTGTAAGTAAATTCCATTTTTCTTGTAAAGCAAATATCGCAAGAAGTTGGTTTGAATTCGCTCAATAATGACGTCTGACCCATGACATCAGATTTGAAGTGCACTAGGCCTACATATAGGGCGGAACTGTAGTGGAGTTGGGTCTCGAGCCTGGAACCCTCCGGCTCCGAAGTCTAGACCTTACCACTAGGCCACTGTAGTGGAGTCGGGTCTTGAGCCTGGAACCCTCCGGCTCCGAAGTCGAGACCTTACCACTAGGCCACTGCGGATTTGGGACTTGAAGGTCGATAGTTCGTGATCCGATTCCACCAAAGATCTTTCGCAAAATAAACCTCATTTAGCCTCAAAACGAGAAGTTAATCAGATGTCGTCCAAGCATGTCCGTGATCTAAGCATGGTTCCCAACTACGAAGCCTTTCCCAAAATAAACCTCATTTAGCCTCAAA